AAAGCCAAGTTAAGTCTTTTTACTAGTTAACATTTTAAAATATTTACTATTTGTTAATATGGCACAAAATAAACCTCAGGCAATTGGTTAAACTGAAACTAGAGCAAAGCTAGAAGATTCAGTGGCTGGAGAGAAGTGGTCAAAGGGTACAACGTTTCAGTTATGCAAGATGAAAAAGTCCTAGAGATCTACTCTGCAGCCTGGTACCTGTGTTGACAATATTAAAAATCTGCTTAGAGAGTAGATCTTATATTAAGTATTCTTACCACAAAAAAAAATAAAATAAAGAAGGCAGGAGGAAACTTTGAGAAATGATAGATATGTTTATGGCATAGATTGTGGTGATAGTTTCACGGATATATACTTAAATCCAAAGTTACCAAGTTGTACACACTAAAAATGTACGGCTTTTTGTATGTCAATCATACCTCAATAAAGTGCCTTATTAAAAAAGAAGAAATGCCTGTAAGAACCTCAAAGCCTTCCAAGTATTGTAAAAATTTCTCCCAGAGCATGGTAATTTCTAAGTTAAAAGGTTTAGGGGATTTGAATCAACTCTAGGGATGATTCCCAGTTTAGCTTAAGTAATGGCTGAGAACATTTAAATATTAGTAGTTATAGTAACAAACTATAGGTGAGGTTGCGTTTTTAAAAACATGCCTCTAAATTGGATAGCCTGTGTTTATGTAGTGACAGAGGCAGGGACCTTGTCCCAGCCCTGACACTACCTGGGCCCCCTCAGGCCATTCAGGTACTCACCTACAAAATGAGGACATTGGACTCAGTTATATGTAAGACCCATTCTAGGATAAAGGGACTCCTCTGGAATCCCATTCCTTAATCATGCTGCTTCCCTGCTTCAATAAAATATTTTCTTTTTTAAAGCACAATTTAGTAGTAAGACACACTTTTCTCTTTGATTTAGTTGCTTATGGATGGGGAGAATAAAAGGACCTATTACAATCTAATTATTCTGATGGTTTCCTCCTATTCCCTTTCCCTTTTTGCTCTTTATTTTCTTTAAAATGTCATTTTTCTTATTTCTCACATTTAAATGTAATCCATCATAAATGTTTCCTCATCTATAAAGTGGAAATAATGGTCCCTGTATAAAAATCTCACAGCTAGATTGTTACATGAATTAAATGAAGTTAGTTTATGTAAACACTTGAAACAGTGCCTGGTATATAATTGTATAAGCACTCAAAAATGTTAGTTTTTAGGTGTATCAAGCCCTTCCCCTGCATCTCTTCACTGACAAAAATCCAGGCATCCAAAGTGCTTTGAAAGAAAATAATAGAATTTCTGCAATCATGAGAAATAGCAACAATATTAGAAATCACAAATCTCCAGTCTTTTCTGCAGTTCTTGAAATACTGTTAAAACACAGCATCTGTAACTCAGTGACCTGCTGACTGAAGTAGATGCATCACCACCATCAAATGACTTAGGTAGTAATGTTTTAACTGGGAACATATCCTCTGTTCAAAAGTGACATTTCAACGCTCTCCAAGGTGAATCTGGTGTTGGCATCTCTAACGCTGTGTACCACCAGGCCATGCCATCTGCAGACTCAGAATTTCATATAATGTGCAGTTCTTTTATGCCTCTGTTGTGCCTTTATCTACTGTATTAGTCTGCCGGGGCTGCTATAGCAAAATACCAGAGACTAGGTAGTGTGAACAACAGAAATTTATTTACTCACTGTTCTGGAGGCTAGAAGCCCAAGATCAAGTTGCTGTCAGGATTGGTATTTAGTGAGCTCTCTCTTCCTGGCTGCAGACAGACATTTTCTCACTGTGTCCTCAAAGGACCTTTCCTCTGTGCTGGGGAGGGAGCGGGGCGTGGGGCAGAGAAACAGAAAGAGAGGTATCTGGTGTCTTTTCCTCTTCTGATAAGGACACCAATCCCATTGGATTAGGAGTCCATCCTTCTGACCTCATTTAGCCTTAATTACTGCCCTAAGGCTTTCTCTCCAAAGATAGTCACACGGGGTGTCAGGCCTTCAAGCTATGAATTTGGGGGAACATAGTCCATAACATCTGCTCAACACCAGCAGTCCAAAATAACCACATATCAGTAAAGCAGACAATTTGTTTCAAGTAAATACTCATTATAGGCTATAATAATAAGTATTTCTAAAAGGAAACATCTGTGATAAACACATACACAGAATTAGATAAATTATTCATAAAGACTTCCCAAATATTTTCCTTGAGAAGCTGGAAATTCTTAATGTGCACTTATGATAATATTAGAATTGAAAATGTTCATTTCCTTTTAAGAGATCATTCCTTGAAATTTCATGTTTTTTCATAGTGATAAGTATGAATCAAATTAGAGGGTTCCTCAAAAGCTATATTTTACAGTCCTATTTGCTCTAATAATTTTTATGTCCAGAGAAAACTATGATTTGAAAAGACATATGCACCTCATTGTTCACAGCAACACTATTTGCAATAGCTAAGACATGGAAACAACCTGAATGTCCATTGACAGAAGACTGGGTAAAGATGTGGTGTGTGTGTATATATATAATGGGATATTACTCAGCCATAAAAAAGAATGAAATAATGCTATTTGCAGCAAAATCGATGGACCTTAGAGATTATCATATTAAGTGAAGTAAATCACACAGAGAAAGACAATTATCATATGATATTGGTTATATGTGGAATCTTAAAAAAAATACAAGTTTTATTTACAAACTAGAAATATACTCACGGGCATAGAAACCAAACTGTGGTTAACCAGGGGTGGGGTGGGAGGGGTTGAAGGGGTAGGGGATAGATTAGGAGTTTGGGATTAATAGATACACATTACTATGTATAAAACAGATAAACAACAAGGACCTACTGTACAGCACAGGGAACTATATTCAGCTTCTTGTAATGAGCTGAAATGGGAAAGAATCTGAAAAAACATATGTGTATGCATATGTATAACTGAATTGCTTTGCTATATACCTGAAACTAACATTGTAAATTGACTGCACTTCAATAAAAAATAAGAATTAAAAAAAAGTATGTCAACTAACAAAAATTTAATTATTGTCATTATTATAAGCTTCTTGACTTCACTAAAACTAGATTCCTTTGTTATAAATTGTTATAAAATGTTATTAATATGGCCTAGGAGAAAAATTCATTCAAGCTGAATTATGAGAAAAGATATAGTTAATTCAATATTTTAATTTTTTTCAGGAAAATATGATAGCTAGCCAGTTTTAGAAAATCTGAAATGTCACTTCTGTTATCATTTCAGAAAAACAAATACTTTATTCGTTGTCTGATTCATACCAAATGGCAGCAATTGATGCTCTCATTTTTTTTTCTTGTCTAAAATTAGCTTATAATTTTACCCAAGTGTTGTTGTTGCCAAGAGGTCAGCTTCTTTCTCCAGGAACACTTGACCATGCAGAGATCTGCAATCAGGAGGACATGTAATACGGATCTATCATGTTGCTTTGAAAGCTTCCAAGCCCGGATTGGACCATAACATTCAATACCAGAGTTTAGCACAGAACAAAGTTAATTGTGGAACAGTGTATACTATTGAGTGGAGGTGAACCAAAATTTTAGCTAAAGTGGGAATAAAAGGCCTAAAGTCAAAGTTATTACACTGAAATAGCCAAGGTTTATACTCATCATTGAAAGACACAGACCCTTGGGGGCAAAAAATTAAAATAAATAAATAAATAAATAAAACAAGAAAAAAGAAAAAATAGAAAAAAAGAGACAAATCCTATACCAGATAATTTGTGAATAATAGAGAAACTATGAAAAGAAACTAACAATGCAATGTGTATGAAAAAGAGAAGAAAAAAGAGAGGGAGTAAGGAAACATTTTCTAGCTGTGACATTTTTACATTGCTATAGTCTTGTCTAAATATTTTTATTTTAAAAATTAAGTCTGCAATAAATAGTGTAAAATACGGACACAAAAATACGTATTTTTAGCCCAGGGAATACACAATAAAGGTGAAGTTTAAGAAAACAAACTAGGTGGGGGAAGCATATAGCTCAGTGGTAGAGTGTGTGCTTAGCATGCATGAAGTCCTGGGTTCAATCCCCAGTACCTCCTCTAAAAATAAGTAAATAATTAAAAAAAAAACTACCACCCTCCCCCGCAGAAGTAGAAAATTTTTAAAAATTAAAACAAGAAAACAAACTAGTATAAATTAAATAAGTGAAAAGGCCAATTTATAACCAGCCTATTTGTCTGCTTTCAATAAATGGCTAAATAAGTTTTATGCACAATCATATTAAACCAGAGTTTCTACATTGCACAATAGGATAATCTATCATCACTGCTAATCCAAGATAAGTTGATCTTCAAATACCTAATGCAAAATGAAAAAAACATTAAAAGGACAAAAAAGACAAAAAATAAAAAACAAATATCAAACGCTGTGAACTAAACAAACTCCACAAACTTTAACCTAGATTCTAGTTTCAAATTTCCAAATTCTTTCTATAAAGTGCTTCTTATGTCCCTTTTTGGCATTTCAGTACTAATATTTCCAGTAGCTTTATTGTTTTTAAATCCATATAGAAATCCAGAAAATATTTGTTGCTTAACTTTGGTTGACTCGGTACCTGAAACAATTACTAGTAAAGCTTCAGTAGAATTGAGACCCATTTATGTAAGGAAATTACAGTGAATTACAAAGAATCTGCTTAACAACCCATGATTTTGACAGGACAGCAAGGCTCTGTGGAAGCTGAAAAACCTTAAAAGCTGATGAACAATCTGAAAGAAACATCGTATGAAAAATATCGATTGATCTGTAAGGTGAAAGCACTATAGTGCTGGATTCTACTTTTAGCCTTATAATTTCATATCAGAGAAATTGTCCACCATCCCTTTGCTACACTGCCTCTTTTTTTAACTTATGATGAAGCGTAGAATTGACCAAAAGAGAAATATATTCTGAGGAAATGTATACAATTAATAAGTGTATAAAACATGGGTGTTTTCTGAGTATGAAAGTATGTGTGGTGCTCACTTCAGCAGCACAAACACTAAAATTGGAAGGATATGGAGATTAGCTTGGCCCCTGTGCAAGGATGATGTGCAAATTTGTGAAGCATTCCATATTTTAAAAGAAAATCTGCATGATGTATCTGATTAGAAATTATACAAAGCATTAAAGCATCATGTGGATGTACATGTTTGAAAAATACTTGATTAATAAGTCAGAAATAAATTGTACTAAATGAGCAGATTTAGGTGAACATGACTCGGTAAGAATATGTCTTTGTCAGCAAGATGCTTGGAAATCGGGCCAATAAAGAGAATGAGACCTCAGAGTTTGGAGTTCCTGCAACCACAAAAAAGAAGGAGAAACAGAAGTGAAACAGGAGAAATTAGGCAGAAGCCAATGATTGAAATCACAGGGAAGTGTTGGGTTTGTGAATAAAAGGAAGTTCCCAAATCTCATTCAACTCAAGAACATTTGGGGCTTGGTGGCTGTTGTTTTTCCTCGTGCCATGATTACAAAAGCCTAAGTAAACTAAAGTGTTCCTGGGTAAATGTTATCCCACCTGTCCCACCTGGGAGCAAATATATTGTGAAGCTAAAGGGGCTTAAGCCTCAGGACCCCTCACTTGCACAAACCACTTCCAAGCCCATTAAGGGCCTAGAAATGATTTCATATGGTCATATGTTTGGGTCGAATTTGCCAAAGATATTTCAATCACAGTCAGTTAAGACCATTATTTCTTTTCATTCTGATATTCCGTCTGATAAGCTTCCCCTTAGTCATGTCATCACCAAGCATTTTGGCATCTAGTTAATGGGAAGTTGCATACACTGGTTTGGGTTTCGTAGAATATGATCATGTGTGACGCAGTATTTCTGTGTAGAGGGAAGTATTGCTAACCATCCAGGTATAGAAATGGCTTCCAGGAATATTTCTACTGCCTGCTGTGCCAAGTCACATGGGATCCTGTCATGAAAAGATGTAGGGCCAGAGGTTATACTGCAGTGTGACCTTATCCTACAGTGGATGGCACCATAAGTATGTGGGAGTGGAGAAGAAACAAAGTTTAAAATGAAAGGAGGTACCAATTTGAGAAGATACATATGCCCCAATATTCACAGCAGCACTAATTATAATAGCCAAGACATGGAAGCAACCTAAATGTCCAATGATAGGTGATTGGATAAAGAAGATGTGGTATATTTATACAATGGAATACTACTCAATCATAAAAAAGAATAAAATAATGCCATTTGCAGCAACGTGGATGGACCTGGAAATTATCATACTAGGTGAAGTAAGCCAGACAGAAAAAGAAAAATATCATATGATATTACTTATATGTGGAATCTAAAAAATGACACAAATGAATTTATTTATAAAACAGAAACAGACTCACAGACATAGAAAACAAACTTATGGTTACTAAGGGGGAAGGGGGGAGGGGGATAAATTAGGAGTTTGGAATTAACGGATATAGACGACTGTATGCAGAATAAATGAACAACAAGAACCTACTGTTAAGCACAGGGAACTATATTCAATAGCTTGTAATAACTTATAATGGAAAAGAATGTATATGTATTTGTGTATAGGTATATGTATGATTGTAAATCAACTATACTTAACTAAAAAAAAAAAGGAAAAAGATGAAAGCAAGTAAAAAAGTCAGTCTATTGGAAAGTCGTCCCGTCACTAGATATGTCAAATTGTTAAGGAGAGTAGCCTATTTTTATCTCCCTAGTCAAAAAAAGAGTTCTATCCTGGCAGCCCTGTCAGCAACACACTCAGTAATGCAATGTACACAATTATAAATGTGCTGTAGTCTTTCCCCCTCTTTTGAAGGAGGTTGTGCATGATAGAACTCATCAGAATTACTGTGTTACTATGAAAGAAGTCTGGTATTAGTCTGGGGCAACTCCACAGCCACAGGGACCACGGCTCCTGTATTTCTGCTCTGTCATCCTCACTATGTGGCTTCCTTTGTGAGTTCAGGGTAACTGCTGGCACTCCAGGGATCACGTCCACATTCCAGGCAGTAGGAAGAAGGAAGAAGAGAAGGCTAAGAGGATGTGCCCCATGGCTGAGTCAAATCCCTTTAAGGGGCCATTCCAGACGTTTCTCATAGCATTTCTCTTTGGGCCAGAACTTGGTTGTGTTGCTCCAGCTAGATGCAAAAGGAGGCTGAGATGTGTAGTCTTTTCAGATAGGTGATCTGCTGCTAGAAGACAGCTTGGAACATGGCAAGCAGGTGGACAAGTGGAGACTTAAAGCAGGGAAAGCTGAAATTTAAGCATCTATGTTGGAAAAGCCAAAAAACAACAAAAAATGGCTTTGGAATTGGAGGCAACTGTCACTTTGAGTGTGGTGTGGATGAAAAACGAGATTTTTTGAAAGTCTGTGTAAGGAGCAGCTAGATCTCTAGATGCCAGCCCTAACATTGCACAGCCAGGCTCCTGAACCTTTCCCGCCCCGGTAGAAAAAGACAGCTATTCTCACCGGAAAAATTGAAACAGAGCTCTAGCCTCTGGGATATGTTCGGGAAGGAAGACAAAAGGTAAAGCAGGGAGGTTCCGTTAAATTCTACATACCGAGTTGTGAGAACCTTACTCCCCTGCCCCTACTCGATTCCTAGAATAGTAGCAGCCAGGCTTACACCCTCTCCTGAAAAATAGGACAACAACAACTGCGACAAAACAAACAAAAAGCCGGCTCAAGAGAAAAATCTGCAGATGCTAATACTTGAGGATCTACCAAGTAAAGCCTGAGTACAGGTCTATGGTAAACTGTACAGTGAAGCCACCAGTTAACACCCTGGCCAAGCTTCCAAGACATTTTTGGTGCTTCTCTCTTGAATAAGAACAGAAAGCCAAGAATCACTAGATTTTTAAAAGAATTTTTTAAACATTTTTTATTGAGTAATAGTCATTTTACAATGTTGTGTCAAATTCCAGTGTAGAGCACAATTTTTCAGTTATACATGAACATGCATATATTCATTGTCACATTTTTTTTCGCTATGAGCTACCACAAGATCTGAAGAATCACTAGACTTCTGAAGAATGTCTCTACAAGATCGCCCTATTGCCAATCTAAGGACGTATGAGCTTGAGTCCCTGAGACCGACGCTAGTGCTAGTTCTGAAGCTCTGAGTTCAAGGAAGCATGTGTTGCCCCGAGAGGCAGCAGGTGATAATAAAAAAGACTGTGTTCATGCTCAGACCCTGTGCTGTACTGTGCTCTGTCTTGTTTATTGTACATCCCAAGACTAATGGGGGTGGGGGGACTCCTGGTTCTAGTGTGATGGTCTCTGACATATATCAGGATTGGCTTAAGTGCAAAACTGCTTCAGGCTCTCAACCCCTAAAATTAACCAATGCAGTTACTGCTACTTCTGTACTGAAAATGAATTTTTGACCTGCTACCAGACACTGGCTGAGACGGCACCACAATTGAGGGACAGCTAAAACAAAAGGTTCCAGTCATTTCCTGGGTGATGTCAGAGAAACAGTGGAATAAGGAAGGAGCATCCCAGTCAATCGCATTGAATTAACGTGACCAATATGTTCAGAAACATGGGAAAGGGACAGCACAGGAGGGGTCTGGAGAACTCATGGACCAGAGGCATTGTCCCCATTACATGCTGTCTCTCTGACAACAGGAACTGCAGTAAAGAAGGATGCGACTAAGCTTTATTTATTGATGGCAGTGTCCACAACCCTTGTAGTGGAAGGCAAGGGAAAGTCAGCCTGGAAGACCCACTTATATATGATGTGGCTGGCTGTACATTCCAGAGTCTTAGCTTAGTTTCTCCTGAAAGCAGGGTTGGTGACTTATATGGAAGATAATTCCCCCTAAACAGGAGAGTGACACAAGGACGCAAGGAGAGAAAGCCAATAAAATGTGTGTTATCGAATGGTTATCTCCATGCCCAGCGAGGGCTTAATCCTGCTTGGGACCCTCGGAAGAACTATAGAATCCACTTGGAATTGTACACTATTGATAAAGTGCACATATAATTAAATAAAACACAGAATTTATACTATCTGTAGAGAAAAATAAAATAGAAAAATAAAATAGAAAATAAAATAAAATATATAAATTATATTTATGTAAAAATAATTTTACAAAACTCTATTCTAAGAATTAAAGATTTGTTGATTGATCATTTGAGCACAAGTATGGTCCTTCAAGTAGTATCAGTTTTTATTTTTGTTTTATTTTAATTAAAAATTTAAAAAATTTAAGTATAAAGATTTTTTTATTATGTGTAACATAGGCAAAAGGCAAAATTATTTAAGTCCATAAATTTTTAAGGAATTTCAGTTGTTCTGATTCCTTCCACTGCCCATCACCTTAGTTCCTCTAATGTTTGAGTCATAATCATCAAGATAGCTCTTTCAAAAAAGGACTTTTGCTCAGTCCAAAGTTGTGATGTCAGTCAGTCCACAGTTCTTTTAGTTGGGCTTCTTTGATCCTCAATAGAATATGGACACTCTTCAGAAATTCCCTGCCTGTAATCTTTGGGATCCAATTTCCCCAAGTAGTTTACTTTAGGGCCCTGTTTAGGGTCAGAGGAGATGGATCTGCCTGGTTCTGAATTTTAGACACTTTCTAAAAGTAGCATCAGTTTTTAAAATGCGAAAGAATGAGATCAAAATTCATTTTGAAGAAACAGGAATTTAGAAGTCTCTGGTTTCTTGATGTTGGTTCTAAGAGTTGGTCCATTTGAAGTTTGTGTTAACTTCAAAGGAGCTCATTTCTGTTTTGAGGATTTGAAGGTGGAGGAGAAACTCCAGCCCAAGAAGGGGGTTCTGTAAGTGCATCCCAGAAGAGGATGAGAAGGCAAAGGAGATCTCTATAGGACCTGTTTCCTTGGGTCTGGGGCCATGTCTGGGTAGGTGGGTGAGTGGGGCCTGACAGCACAGGAGGCCTGAGCTACAGTGGGAGAAAAGAGCAGCTCTGCTTTCAGACCAAGGCTCACCATCTGGAGGGACAACTGGGGAGTTATTGTTTGGAAAAGTTTTTTGGGATGCGGTGACTCCTGGTTCAGTGACCACATCATCCCTGTAACTTCAGCCATCATCTCCTTTTTTCTTGAGTGTCTGCATCTCTCTTTAT